TGACACCTGTTAACTGGTCAACCTCCTCCAGAGCCTCAGTTTCCTCATCTGTGAAATGGGGGTTTTGTAAAGATTAAATGACCTCATTCCTGTTCTTACCATGCCTGGCTCACAGGAGCTATGCCAAGACATTGTAAATATTACTGTCATTACTATTGTCTCCATCCTTAAAATTATCAAAGTGTACCGGAATCACCTATTTTGGGTCTGGTCCCCTCACTGATTCTAGGAGCTTCTTAGGGACACTCACTGTGTCTCATTCATAATTTTTATTCCCACTGTCAAAGAAAGGTAGTAGGAGTTACCCAGCACAGGCTAGACGAATGGGAAGGAGAAAAGGAAGCAGAGAGGAAAGAAGGAACATATGATGACAGATCTGGTGGATGTGCTGTTTCTTGTTTTTTTGTTTCTGTGTTGATATCTGGGCATCTGGTGGAGTGATCATCTCCAATTTTAAACACTGGCTTTCACGGAGAGAGATTTTACCTGTACGTGTATCCTAAGTGTTGGTGGGTTGAGGTGCTGGTTTTGTCTCTGTGCAGGCTCAGTCATAGAGTCTCTGTAGTTTCTTCAGCTGTGGTCAAGCTGAAGGAAACTTTGTACCTGTTCACTCCATCAAGTGCAACCTCCACACAGGGACCGGGGTCACCTGAGCTCCTAGGGAGCAGGTCCACTGGAGCATGTTGGTAAAATGCAGTCTGGTTTGGTGGAGTTGGAAGGGGGCTAGGGTCTGCATTCTACCCAGCTCCCGGGTGAATCGTTGCTGATGCTCCCCGCAGCACACCTGCAGCAGCAAGACCAGTGGGCCTGCAGCTCTTAGCCATCACTGAGTTAAGAATTCAACAAAAGTTACAGACTCTCTCCCCAGACAAATTCATGTCCACTAAACCCTGGGAAGTTCAAGATGTTTCAGGCCTTCTGAAACCCACACCAAGGATCCCCGACTATTTTGTTAGGATCTCTCCTCAGTCCACCCGCCAAGTCCCACCTGTCCTCCCTGTCCAGTGCCAGTGCTGTCTCACTGGTAAAAGCTAACTGTTGTCTTTTGAGCAAGCACAGTAAGCCATTGCTTTCTTTAGAGTCCTTTAAGCTGCCGTGTCCTCCAGGTTTGCTACTTGCCTGGGTCCCCAACAACTCTTTAAAGTCCTGACACATAGTATCAGTGAATGAGTGCTGGCTAAATGAATTAGTGCATACTAACACTTTACAAGAAATACCAGGTCAAGGGCGAGTGTGGGATTCATGCCAGGTCAAGGGCGAGTAAACCCAGTTACTTGGGAAGTGGAGGTGGGTTGTGGTTTGTGACTAGCCTGGCAAAAAGTTATCCAGACCCTATCTCAAAGAAGAAGCAGGGCATGGTGGTACACATCTGCAATTCTAGCTATGAGGGAGGCAGAGGTAGGAGGATTGCAGTCTGAGGCTTACCCTGAGCAAAATGTTTCAGACCCTATCTGAAAAACAGCTAAATCAAAAAGGTCTGGGGGTGTGGCTCAAGTGGTAGAGCACTTGCCTAGCAAGCACGAGATCCTGAGTTCAAACCCCAGTACCGGAAAAAAACAAAAAACAAGCCAAATATTTCTGGCATTTGAAAATATTTGTAATGGTCAACCCCTCGTGTGCATGACTGGGCCAATCTCTGTTTTGCAATAAATAAGCATCTAATGAATGTTGAATTCAAAAGGATGAGGGAGAGAAAAAGAAGGAGACAGAAAGGAGATAATGAGGCACACAACTCCATGCCCTCTCCTCCCTCTGCCTTCCCCATGTTGGGCAGCCAGGCAGCCAGGCCCCATTGTGGTGATAGGTAAGCAATTACTTGAGCCACGAGGCAGAAGAAGCTGTAATTTGTTCCCACAAGGATGTGTGTCCCAGCCAGCTCTTGCTTAGGAAGGCAATCCACTGGCCTTCCATTGTAATAATTTAGGCTCAAATCAAAGAAGTTGGTGTTGAAGTTGCTACAGCAAAATCAAGCCAATTGAACCGCAGAGCTTTGGGCTTCCTGCACTTGTCCTCTCTGAATCGCTGAAGCCCGCTCCTCCTCTCTCCCCCATCAGCCCTCAACCTGAACCTGTACCAGTCCTCTTTCCCCATTCCTTTGGAGGGATTATTGTGAGACATGCTCACAGTAGGAATTTGAGGAAACAGAAAAGAAGCAGCATCCATAAACCCACCTCCAGGAGAGGGGGCCCCTGTTAGCATCTTGTATTTTATTTTAATCTTTTTTTAAAAAATGAAAATTGAAATTAATGGAATTGTCATGAAACCTTGCTTTCAGTCTGATGGGGGAGAGGTGTTGTTCCCAGGATTTCTGGGGAATCCTTCATTTTGCTTTCTTGGCTGTTTTAGGGAGTGGCTGAGGCTGAACTGGAACAGAACCTGGGTCGGACTTTCAAGAGCTTCTTCCGAGCAAGTGATGAGGTGAGGGATGGGGAACTGAGGTGTGTGGGATGGCACTGCTCTGAAGGAAAGGGGGTGGCTGGGGTTGAAACAGGGTATGGGAATTATCAGTGACCCTCTTGTCTATATCTTCTATAGTCAGTAGATTGGGGTTCCTTTCTACTGTTCCATTGTTAGTAGAGACACAAGACCAAACAGTAGTTATAACAACAGTGGTTGGGGAACTCTCCTGCTATCACTGTTACCATTTTACTATGCATAATTGACTTACCCACATGTAAAATTAATTGCTATCTCTCTGTTCTTGAACGTCCAAAGGAGTATGGAATGCTTTAATTCCATACACCCACACCTGTCCTGTGTGTCAGCTGTCATTACCTCTGTTTTACATACACCTCATGCCTGTCTACACTTTCCCATGCCTCCCAGTGTCTTTGCTGATTACTCTTGCTCCTGTTGGTTAATAAACCTGAGACAGACATTACTCAAATCTGCAAGTGCCTGGAGCATCCTTGGTCCAGAGCTCTGACTGTCGGTTCCATCATTATTTTGACATCTAAAAGGTCCCTTGCTTTTTGGGGGGAGGTTAGCATGTTTCTTATAGAGTGATTCTCCCTTATCTGCTATTTCCATGGTTTTAGTTCTTCTTGTTCAACCCTGGTACAAAATATTAAACAGAAAGTTCCAGAAATATATCTTAAGTTTAAAATCATGCACCATTCTGAGTTGTGCAATAAAATGTCACACTGTCCTGTCTGGAACCATCTTTGTTTCTCATAAGATGTCTTGAGAGAGCGGGGAGGGCCCACCACAGAACTTTTATTACGGTGTTGTTGTAATTATTCTATTTTATTATTAGTTATTGTTGTTAATCCCACTGGGTCTCATTTGTGAGTTAAACTTTATCATAGACATTAGGTACAAGAAAACACATAGAACATGTAGAGTTCAGTACTGTCCCTTTCCACTGAGGGTCTGAGGACATCCCCACTGGCGTCTGTGTGACACTTTAGATCTTTTCTTGTAACAGGGCTTTCAGGTGGTCTGCTTCAGTATCTTTCTTTGCCTTTCTTCCCACAGGGCTTTCCAGCTGTGGATAAAGTCACAGAAATGGGTAAGAGCCATTCCTAGAAGAGAAGGAACCCAGAGGGCCATGTCAGCTGAACACTATAAACATTTCTTCCTCTGTCTACCCTGGCAGAAGCTCTGATACTTCCTTCGAGGCCCAATCTTTGACTTGTCCAACAAAGGTCCCCACGGGGTAAATGGTGCTCACTCCTATCCCTGGCCCACCACACTGCCTCAGCCTCTTTTCCTCTAGCTGGGAGTCAGTACCCTAAACAGAGTTTGGAGGACTTTTAGAGTATGTTCAGACAGTCCGCCCTCTACTGCTGAGGACTCCAGCCCAGGCAGGAGAAGTGTATGTGAGGCAGGAAGGACTGGACCCCACCCGGGAGTCCTCTCTCATCACCCACTGGCCCTTCCTCCCCCACGCTCTGTCTTCTGGGCAGTCCAGTTCCCTCTTTACTGGGTTGGGTTTAATTAAGCTCGGACTGGAGCTTATCCCATGGCCCCAACACCCAGCACTGTTCCCTAACACTGTGTCCCTGCCATTATTCACTTGTATTTTATTAATAATGGTGATTGCTGCTGCTTGTTTGAGCACTGCTGTGTGTGTCCGACTGGGGGCTTGGCCCCTTTTAAGTAAATAATTTATAATCCCTATAACTTCACCAATGTTATCATTATGATCTCTTGATTGCAAATGAAGAAAATGGGTCTCAGATGTTTGACTTGTCCAAAAAGGCCAAGCTGGGCTTAAATTCCTCTGACCCCTTTGACCTATGGCATGAAAGTCTGGAGTGGCCAGCTCCTCTACTTTGAGGATTCTGAGTCTGAAACTGGTGAGCTGGTCCTGTTTGGATGCCAGTGATACTGCCCCTGGGGGCTCCCTGGGAAGCTGCACTGTCC